TTCTACTTGAAACCACGTTCCACGAGACTAGCGAATATACACTCATTTGGAAAATAATTTGTTTTCCACGGGGGACTCAAGTGACTCTCTAGTTTATGAGATTTGCTAATGAGTGTGTGTGCAGCACATTTATTTGTAGAACACCATAAATGAGAGATTCACTTGAATCTCTTGGATAAAAACCAAACTGTTTGTATATCTCGAAAACAGTTCAAATTGGGTTCGAGTAGAACATAGGGATGACGGAAATTCGGGAATGTGGCCACCTGGCGATCCCAAAGAAGGGCGAACCCGGTAGTGCGCTGTCGAACAGTTTTCACCAACCCCGTGAGATGTTTCATTCATAACCTTGCTTTTAATTCGTTGCCACGTCGCCACATGATATTTCCCAGTAGTACCTGCCCCAAAATCGATAACTGGAGCACACCTAGTGCGGTGCGATACCTGACCAATGCGGCATGAAAAAAATTAGCACATGAAAGGCATCGCGATAACGTGCCTCGCCACAGTCACCGATGTAGTTACGGAAATTTTCGAAAACTGGATAACATGCGAAACTGAATACCCGAATTGAGATCCACTTGTTCACTTACTCATGCATTGTAAGTAGCTTGCAATGATTCAGTTGATGTTTCGATCCCCATTGCGACAAACACAAAATCACAGAAAGATAAATCCACATACAGAGTGAAGCCCCTCTGCTATAAACCTGCATTGGCTTTCAGAATGGCTGCCGAAAGAAACGACATCTGGGCGGGCAGTAACCAAGAGCGACTCGTAAATACGCATCCAAGGTTTCATGAGACACTAGTTTGAACATAGAAAACTTCTGTGTAAAATGATAAAAATGACCACATTTATTCGTAGCCCTGGAAAATCCCGCAGCGGTCATAGACTTTTACATGACTTCTTCCGCAATATATGGTTGGTGAACAGTGTCACTCGCATCCCGGTTGTCAGCCTCTCTCCAGGAACAAGGTTAAACTTCACCGCCGCCATAGAAAACTGATTTCAGAAGTTTAATTCCGCATAGAAGCTCAATATGTTTGGGAGGTTAAGCCTCGAAATTACGAACCGTGTTTCAAATCCAGCCTCGGCATCCCGACATGTCCTGTCCAGGCCCGGGTTACCCGGCGATTGCTCAGTACTTGTGCTTCCTTCGGGCAGTATGGCGGATGAATACGAAAACCGTGCTGCCGCTGAAGTATTACAATGATTATTATGTCCCCAATATTAAAACTGCTTTTTCGTTACTTTGAATTTTAGCGGATTATGTTCAGCTGTAGTGCTGTGAGGGCTGGACAGATAAACTTAATTGAATACCGCTGTTTAAATTGAAGCTTTTAAAATCAGTTGGACGGAGCACAAATGCCTGTACGAGCACCTGTGGAATACGCTGAACATATGTAGAGACAGTGACAACTCGGGTGACTTTACATGTATGGGTCATCTGGTTGCTGGACTGCCAGACAAGCCAAAAAGTTGGATTGCAAATTTTCAGTGGGTATTGGCCTTCTTCGGTTCGATGACAGTCAAAAGGCATTAAACTGTCACGCAGTGCATTTTTTCATTTTTCATTTCCTTGGTTACTTGGTTAGGAGTCTCCAAAGTGGGCGACGAAATAGCTATGCGTTTAGGCAGAAGTGATTTTATATTGAGGTAATGATTCGTTCAAATGCAGAACTTGGTTAGAAAAGCGAACTATGTTCGACCGAAATCCATCGACTAAACATTGAAGTGAGACATAATCCTGACCGATGTTTGTCAACAACACCAGAACAGGCCGGCTGAGCAGCAACGGAATCACAAGATTTGCTGGGGCTCAAATAGGAATTCCATCTTACGGCGCGTCCGGATGCCCAAAGACTCAACAATGCACGAACATCTAGCTAGAGTTTCTGGTGGCCAGTCAATACGTCACTTGGAGTATCAAATATTCAGTGGTTCTCTTAGCCAATGTTCTGTGATAATTTCCTCCGCTTTTGACATAATATCCAGCCAACGAATCAATGGTTGCGCTGGTTTCCTCGTGGAGAATTCTGTTTCCCAGTCGGTGCCCGCGGAAACGGACGAGTGAGCCTTTAGTCGTACAGTCGTTGAGCATCGGGTTCAGTGGCCCTCCTTCGACATCTGTTACGTACCGAAGTGATCTGCCCCGCAGCAACATAGGTACATAAACATTCAGGCACATCAGACAATCCCACTGATTTGGTATTGTGGTTATCGGCGTCGTTTTAATATACATCTCGTCGTATAATGTTACATGTCAAAAAGTGCCCGAGGTCAACTGGCTGTTGTAATCTGGAAGATGGCAACTCCGCGACGAAGTTCATCCTCGACGGTATGGTGTACCGAATCAGGGGATGTTATGCATACCGAGGAGTCTGTTCTGCCGAAGCTTTCAAGGGCAATGTTTGATGCTCAGCTTCTTTGTATGGATGCGAAAAATTTTACCGCTGTTTTCTTGATAATCTGTTGCATTTTATTATGGGAAACCCTCCACTAGTTCAGTCGGGTTGTCGATTCTTCATTCGCCTACTGAACAGCCAGGTGAAAGTTGGGCCAAGAGCTGCTGATCTGTAGTGCGGTTAGCTCTCGGTTAGACTGGATATAGCGCAAACATCCTTCCATCACAGAAACCTAATCATAGAGTTACACATTTTGTCAGGCTTCACGAGGGACGACTTATCAGAAATAAGTTTCAGTCATCTTATAAAACCATTCTTCCTCTGATATAAACATGAACTGCTGATGAGGTTTATATGTACTCCTCTAGTAAATTCGCTTGTAAACCGAGATCTTTGCGGAATTTGTGGACTCGCTTTGTATCATTTGCTTGGACTTGAGTAACATTGAATGAATATCCAGAAAGATTCAGCAAGACGCGTTTAGGTAAAAGTGGATGTTTATCTTTACTAAGTAAGTTGAATATGACAGGTTTGACTTCGAGTCCAATTGTGTGTAACTAGTCATTTAACATTTTGTAGTTAATTGCTCCGCAAGGAATGCATTCTCCTTTTAAGTTGTTGTCGTGACCAAGATAATGATCGAAGTTAAGTGTCCACAACTCTTTGAGGATGGGAATGTTCCAACCTCCCTATAGGACTTCGAAGAGGTCGCGGAGACCCCCCGGACTGGATAGCTGAAGTTCCACCACAAAGGCCGGATAAAGATGGACTGAATGAGAATCACCAGAGATCCTCGATAATAGCTCGCGTGCTGGGCACTCCGACTGCAAGAGTGCAACACCACAATGCAGCATGTGCCAGGGAAGGATAATTACCTGGCTGGTTGGCTGTCAAGATCGGAGGTTGAATATGAGGTTCCCAGGATCATGATTAAAGCCAATGGCCTCGTCATCGAACTGGATCCCTGAAGGTTGGTGCAACACCCACGCCACGATCCTCTTTTCCGAATGGTTGCAACCGCTTTGTTAGATGGAAGGAGCAATGAGAACGAAGAGTGAGAGTCTAAATGAAGTTGGCATAACTTACTGGAACGCCACTGATTTTGAAGGTACTCATAAAGCCAACAGATACGTGAAAACTATTTTGTAGACTCAGGTTGCTGCTCAGTACTGCCTGAATCATATGATCGTTCAACGCAGCCCTAGGAAACACCACGAATCACCAATGTGCACACATTGTTGCAATAAGTTTGCGCAAATGATCAGTCACCGAACAAGCTGATAAAAATGACCTATCATACCCTGATTAGCATAAACTTTGTACCGATCAGATTTGTGTTGGATACCTTTTTCAAATTATCGCCATACATTTGCAAGCCAAAGTTCGATTCGCAGGAGGTGCACAGTATAAAATTTCAGGCACATCCAGCTTCAAGTAACCCTGAATATGATGCGTCGTTTTTCGCTTCTCATTGCGTTCTTGTTCTGCGTCGACCACCTTGCATGGTTGGAAGCCATCGGTTCCCACAATTGGTCATCCATATTTAACAATAATCCTATTTAACAAAATCCGTCAAAGAACTGGGTTGTCCTTGCCGCTGGTTCCAACACCTGGGAGAATTATCGACATCAAGTAGGTTTCCGTAGGTACTTTGTTGGTGTGAGGCTCAAAAGTTCATCTAAATCCCGTAAGAAAGGGTTTTCAAAGAGGAAAATTGCAATTATTGTCCCTCAAACAGTTGTGTACTACATAGTTGTCTCCATGACTGTGACATCTCACTCGAAAAGGTGGTGGATAGAAGCTACAACTAATAGACACACCAATGAACAAACATTTCGTGGCTGGTTTTGTTTTAATCAGTATTTCCTGGTTGTGAAACGATATTTTGTTTTGGTCGAGGTCGATTCTCCGTTCCTAATAAACACAGATGTTACCGAGGAGCATAGACATATTCACGTTAATCGGAAACCGACAATCGTCACGCATTTGTGTTTATTGTTGCGTTATGTTAGGTGAAATCACGGCCTGTGAGGGGAAGGAATGGTGTTATATAAAACATGAATTCGATGGTTTTCATGCAACCACTAATCATCTGACTGAACATTGTGGCTTCATTATATTAGGGAAACGCTCCCGGGCTCCGCAGTGCCGTATCCTAGAGTGAGCTGTTGTATAAACCAGGCCTCATAAACCTCAACAAAATCACTGACGTCCCAACAACATTGGCTGTTACGGCGAAAGCACCGGAATTGCTAGGCAATGTGAGCCGATTTATCGATATTACTTGGTGAGATCAAGTAGCGTGTATTTGGAATAAATATACAGGAATCCATCTTGGTCAAATTCGTTCGTTCGCGCGTCTATGATTTGCATGGGGTCACACGGGAATCATATTGAAAATATCACACATAATTAGTGCGTCTGGATCCATTCCTAAGATTCGATCTGCCCGGTAACTTTAATTCACTTGTCATGTGTGTTCTGATTCAGGCGGACGTTTACCATGCGTATCACGTCGTGCGTAAAAACAACGTTCCAGCGGAGAATATAATAACCTTCGCCTACGACGATATTGCAAACAATCCCAGGTAAATATCGCGTATAATATTCGCTATATGGTAGCAAGTAGACTGTATGAAACGCGCTTCGTTTTTTGGCTTTAACATGCCTCATTCCATTGCCGAATTTCTCATGTATATAGTTGTAGAATTTGAGTTGCAGACAATCATGGGTTCTCATGCGTCACTTCCGATGTCATGTCAGATTTTGTTTTGGTTAATTCGTTTCATTGTCTGTAGACTCCATAGAACCTTGATGCAAGCAGCACATTCTAATGGTGATGATAGTGATGACGATGATGATAACCACATGCACTCGTTTGAGTACTCGTTTCCGTAGCCTGAAATGAAACAAATTGATATCTAGATGTCGTTTTAGTGCATCAGCCGGCTGATGATTTATAGCAAATAGTAAGCAGAAAATGTAGTAAGCTAAACATTTTGTAATGCAGCCGAAGAGGCGAAGAATCTTCTAAAAGCATTAAATCTAGTTCATGTGCGCAGACTGTAACGATCGCAGGTCGCTTATTGCCTAATCGTTCTTTCGGCTGTAGCATCTTTAAGGTGCCTAGCTTCCATGACACACGAAGGTTGCACGAGTCCTTGGATACTGCTAGGTTTCTCAAGCCTAGATAGAAGATGTCGGGAGGAAGAGATAAGGCTAGAACTACGAAATTTCCGGTCGGTAAATTCGCGTCTGGCCACTCGAGCAATCCCGTTCCTTGCACAATTGAATTATATCCAAAGGCACTGAATATGCATATGCTCAGATAAACTATTACTGGTGGTTTTTGAATGTTAATTAACCTAAATGAATTGCATTTTCGCACCAACTTTGTAATTTTATTTGTTGTGCACTCAATGGGGATAATTGGAGTATACCTAAATTATTTCTGCGTAAAGGATAATTATTTAACGCTCCATCATGTGTGAAGGGAGGTGCATTCATCGTCGTGAAAATTTATTCCAAAACAAACCGCCCACCCGATTCGAACAGAAGTTGTGAGCGCTTCGTTTCTTTCCATTCGACCTGCGTGTTAATTTCTCTTAGAGAACTCACTGCCACTTTTCATTCTTTTATACCAGAAATCCCTTTAAAGGCAAAGTGTTCCATGACTATGGGCACGAGGATGCCTACAATGGTGTGATAATTGACTACCGAGGGAAAGTAAGTCCGAGTTCCGGCGCAGCAATCAAGTAAATTCCTGCACCAGTTCACCGTGTAACTCAAAGTGCAAGAGAAATTACACTGCGGATTAAAACACAATACAAACTGCAGGGCATGCTATATAGTTTCACTATATTACAGAATATTCAATATGCTTGAACAAACATTAGTCATAAGGTCATAGAGAACGCGCAGGCAGTCCAATACTGAGGTCACCCTTCCTCTTTTGGCCTTTCAAGTAGGCTAGCGTTCTTGTCAAAAGAACCACGAAGTGTGCACGAGGACCAACAAGGCCCGAATAGCTTTCTCCGAGGAAATATCCTGTGATATCCCGGGCGATGCACAAGCCAAACCAAGCAGCGTGTCCAGGACAGCACATTCAGCCAAAGAATACCTTAGATAAGAGATGTTCAACTGCGATTCAGTTGAGTGCTGATGAGTGATGCGCACTTCAAGATAGCGGCTATTTCTCACGTATGTTGCATTCCTCAGCTGCTGAGATAGATGAGGTCTCTACTTGGAAGTCAGTAGTCCAGGTAGTCCATGTTCAACTCAACTAATAACCCCAGGCTTGAGGATCGAATCCATATGCCATGCTTGGCAAACAGAGCAACA